AACTACATTTTCACCGAAATTTGTAGAGCATTTCCCCTGTTCTTTTGTAGGTTAGCGTGGATTTGAACGAACTCTTTGGGGAAGAGTGCAAGGCCTGCTGACTTTCTAAAAAAGTTGCTTTCAAAGATTATCTGTTGCTCTTGAGGACGAAGGTACTTGCTCTATGCTATTTCATGCGTGAGGAAAGAAATCGGGTGTCATCCCTTGTCGGACCATTAGGAAGCAGCGTAGCGCAAATCCCAAATGTGACAAACTTGTTCGAAAACTACTATATTTTGTTAACAACAAGCAACAACAACAACGAGGAAGTCATCCGAAAGGAGGAAATTATAGAACTCATTCAATGGTCATTTGATCCTAGCATTCTCATTCTGTGATTAAGAACATCCGTCGCGGCTTAGCTAGCTAATTTCCATATCCGCTCTCGTGTTGTATTGGGTTGCACTAGAAGCGGGTACCCATAGTTAGTTCCTCGAAATCTGTAACCCATTGAGCACAATCGGACACTTGGGTGCTGTGTAACAATTCAGAACACACGGTTGACGTGGAAAATACCACTCAACACTGGTTAATAGTGGAGCGAAGTTCTCGTCATAGTCGACTTATTCTTTTTTGAAGGCACAGTTCACGATAAAAAGTGGCTTATGAGGTATACCGCTTGTGGCCCCCCTCGTCCACCATATGTGCCGTTGTCAGGTCGGGGAACGGCCTAAAAAGGGTGTTATAGAAGCTCATACTGTTCCGTGTGTTTGCGCGGACAAGTCAACGGCACTGTAGAGGCTGCACAATTCGCAAGAAAACCGATGAAGGAAGTTCCAACAACATGTCATGACCTATAGCGACTGTGGAATGCAATTCTGGGCAGTTTTGGCTTGATGTAGCCAGCTCTTTGCGCGATTGCAAGAAGTAAAATCTCGTCCAGATAATCCTTCCTGTCATGGTAATTTCGTACAACCTCTATTTTCACTGATTTGAGAAACCTTACTTTTCGCGAGATCGGCGAATTTTCTCGCTTCCTTCACTATCAATCGTCCAGCCAATACTTTCGCTCTTAGACTAAAAAAGGGCACGTCAAAATTGTCGTGACCGTGCCTTTAAGTCCGAGCCTGTACATAGTTTTTGTGTCGCTCAAGCGCTACTACAGATACGATTAAAGTAAACCATGCCAAGACAGTCCCTGTCTTCAGTCCGTTTGAGGAAAACTGATTTGACACTTGTCTGGAGGAACAAGTTTCAGCATCCCCTGAGCTTTTCGAGTCCTTGATTGAGAGAATACTCGGAATACTCTCCTGATTACAAATAGGCTTTCTCATATGATTCGAGAAGACACAGATAACCCTTTGTTTTGAAGTACTCACTCATGAAATCAAATGTATTCCCCAGAGTGCGCTGGACGAAGCGACTCGACGAGAAAAGCAATAGGATTCAAATACCCACTTCTCGGGTTACACATCGGCTTGTCTGATATATTTGCTGAACACTCGGACATTCTCACGACGGTCTTTGGCATATCTCTTCAAAACACGTTTAACCTCCTTACTGATAGTACTATGCTATTTGACCCCTATCTTACTTACTTCCATGTAAATTTCCGGGACTTCACTTCTGGTTTTTTCCCAAACTACATTCTGACTGCATTTCTTGCGACAAGCTCGTCAAAGCAAGACCACCAAACCATGCTACTAGGGCCTCAGCGAATTCTGCGAAATTTCGGATCAACTTGACTATATCTTTTTGAGCAGTCATTCATTATGTAGACCTGCTACAATTCGATGTCGTTATGCGGTTACCCAAAAGTGATAGCGAATTGTACTTCGCGACCGTGTTAATGATTACATGTGCTACGGGCTACAGACTAATTTTTTGCGGTACGGGTTCAATCCCCGAAGGTACTAGTCTCGAAAATAGAGTGAGAGTTCAGTCACGAAATGCTTGAATGCGCATCCCCCAGCCCCACGAAGGCGTTTGAAACCTGATGACCTGTCAAATAATCACTAGAAAAACAGAGCCATCTACTGTTATAGATCCACAGAGTCTATTAAGACATTACCATCGGTCGTTGTACTGATCCATGATCCCATCAGAAATGCTAACTTTGTAGTAAACGTGGGCGAAAGGTATCCCTCCTTTCTCATGAGCTCTGTTGATCCCTGAGTGATCCTTGACCCGACTATGAAAAGGCTTAGACGTTCCGCCTACAAATTCGTAATCAAATTTCTGGCAACAGGCTTCAAGTTCACTCGATAATTCTCCCTGACAAACCATCTCAAGCGGGTTTGGTCGCTTTTTATGGAATGAAAATGTTGAAGTCAAATGTTGAGTTCGTAAAGTCAAAATAGAGAAAGGCTGCTTAAAAGCTCATTTTGTTGTGGGAAGTACCTCGAAGGCTTTCAATTTCATATCACACCAAAAAGGGGCTAGTAAGATTGGCAGCTTGTCAACTCAATTTGACTTCAATCCGCCCTGAGCATAGCACTTGGGTGTCGCGTGGAATCTTACCCCTTGTTGACCTGACCATAACACTGGCAATGGGCCGGCTTATAGAATTAGTGGACATGTGTTCGATCCAGGAAGGGCCGGACACCCGGCTATTCTTGAGCCGCAAATTGATTTCAGAATTCTTTTCATTTGTTTATTGTCTTCCCTTGACCGTTCCCCTTGTTCCCACGATAATGCCACTTTTTGGGCTTCGCATGGTTGTCACAGACATGTTCACTGGAAGTTCGGGAATCGTACCTCTCAACGGGCACTGGCAAAATCTGAACTTCCTTCAGCCAACATGACGTCCAGCTGATTCGCTTCGGTTGATTCGTGTTTTTTTCGGCTAGCAGCAACTGTGATAGTTATTTATCGGATGAAACACTGCAGATCTGGTCAGTTGTCAATTTCCAATGTTCCTCCCTTCATAAGCGGTACACCAACGAAAATTCTATGTTTTTAACTGTGATCTGTGGAAGAATTGTTTCTCCACATCCATGTCACTCCACCACCCTTTCGGGCTCCTTCACCATCACCTTCCCTGACCCCTAATTGAAATCATGGAAAGGTTCACAACTTGGGTCTTGTTCACCCTCCCATCTCACTTATTCCATTGATGTTGAGCGGCGCAGTTCTCATCGAGACACCCGTTGCGTTTCCTCCTTAATTATTAATGAATGGTCGGTCGCCTCCATGACAGATCACTTCCTTAATTGCATTACATGCCAAAGCATTGGGTACCCACCCGCAAAAGCCAACCCCATCAACCCATGTATGACACTTGATAGGTAATTGATTCGTGGCTGAAGCTGGTGGCAACGTTCTCCTTCCATGCAATTGAGCCTCAACATAAGCGTTTAAGCGACCGATGTCGTATATTCTGTGGTCTCATGTAATTAAGTATGAGCTTTCGGGCTCCCACTGACACCGAAACTTCTGCTGAAAGTTATCTTTCTATGCTTTGTGCTTCCGTATTAAAATGCGAAGATTCTACAGCAGGTTATGCATGATTCCCAC